AAGGTAGAATGATTCAGCTATGCCTAATGTATGATTAATCACACTTTTCATCTGTTTTCCTTTTGATGGATAGTGTTAAATATTTAATGAATTCTATTCTATCTTATCCTCTCCCTTCTTTCTCCTTGCTAAATAACCTGAAAAACCTTTACTAGTATTTTGAGCTACCTCTTATTCAGTTACTTTTACTATTTGCTCTTGATGGAGACTTCCCTGATAGTCTGGAAATGGAGTCCTCCCCTCCATATATACACATAAAAATACATAAGTTATTTTTAAAACAAACTTTCTCTGTTAATCCTAACATCAGTGAGAGATCAAGGTACGACTGTAGTACACCACTTTTAAAGTGAGTATACTAAGACCAAGGTGTAGTGATTAAGCACTTGGCTGCTAACCAAAAGGTCGGTGATTCGAACCACCAGCCGCTCTGCGGGAGAAATATATGGTGGGCTGCTTCCATAACGATTTATATACAGCCTTGGAGACCCTATGGGGAAGTTCTGCTCTGTGCTATAGGGTCACTATTCATTGGAATTGACTCAAAGGCTGTGGGTTTATTTTAAGACCACTTCCAAATCATCTTTGGAATATTTGATTTCTGAATTTTTCTCCAGTTTACTGCAGTCTCTAGTACTTGAATTTGCCTCCCTTTTACAGAGTCTGTTGCTGTTAGTCATTGGGTATTTTTTTCTTATATCCAATCCATCTGCTTCTTTTAAGGCACTTGGCTTTTTTGATCTTTGTTATAATCTGTGGTAAGTGGTCTTTTTTTTTTCCTTTGGTTTTTTTGATTGAACAAGAAGTGTGAGGAGATAGGTATTTGTATTTAGAAATGCTGCCAAAGCTAAGATATTTTCAGAGGAAGAGAAATAACTGAGGTTAGAGAAAAATCATAATTTAAGGTCCAATAGCAACATTTTCTGTCAGCAGAAATTATTTTCATTATTATTAAATTATCATTAAATTATTGTCATTATTTTCTCTATCCTCTGGCAGATTTATTCTTTTTCACCTTCTTCCCACATGCTTAGTTGGCAACTTCCTTTAAACTTTAACTATTATCATTAAAAACCTTTTGAAAGAAAGAACCAATGGTAAAATAACTTACAGAGAAACTATAATATGTAAAGAAAGTAGAATCCTATGATAAATGAGATGACATTAATTTAATCGTAAATACAGAGGCATTTATAGAAAACCCTTTGAAATAGGACAGTTGCAGACATAGGTGTTACCAGATCATAAATGATTGATGTTACATAAAGCTCTGCCCTTACAAATGAAAGCTGAGACTTTTTCTAATGACGTCATGTTGGAGATATAAAGAAAAGAAAGTCCTCTAAGAGAATTGGTTCTTTGGGAAGCAAGAGATGAGTACTGTTGGGGGATCTCTAGTGGTGTAGTGCCTAAGGCACTTGACTGCTAACCAGAAGGCTGGCGATTCAAACCCACCAGCCACTCCTTGGAAAGAAGATTGGGCAGTCTACTTCCGTAGAGATAACCGCCTTGGAAACCCAAGGAGGGGTTGCAGTGAGTCTGATCCGACTTGACGGCAATGAGTTTGGGTTTTTTTGGTTTAAGCCTGCCACCTGGGAAATAATGGTTGTATCACATAAGTGATGGTTCTTTCTCTTCTGGCATGTACTATTGTTGTTGTTGTTGTTATTTGCCATCGAGTCGGCCCCGACTTATAGCAACCCCTCCTTGGGTTTCCGAGGCAGTATCACTACGGAAGTAGGAATGCCCAACCTTCCTTCCGAGGAGTGGCTGGTGGGTTTGAACCGCCAGCCTTCTGGTTAGCAGTCAAGTGCCTTAGGCACTATGCTACCAGAGCTCCTGGCATGTACTATACCACTCTGGAAATGACTGCTGTGTTATTACTGAGTTATAATAGTAGCATTGGGAGCTCTGGTGGCGTAGTACCTAAGGCATTTGACTGCTAACCAGAAGGCTGGCAGTTCAAACCCAGCAGCACTCCTCGGAAGGAAAGTTGGGCGATCTACTTCTGTAGTGATACCGCCTTGGAAACCCTAGGAGGGGTCACTGTGAGTCAGATCTGACTCCATGGCAGTGAGTTTGGTTTTTTTGGTTAACAGTAGCATTACAATTTTTCCTATCAGCAGATTAGTATTGTGACTGATTTTAATCATAAAGATTACAGACTGAGGAAATAAAGTAGAGAAGACTTATGAGAAGTTAATTTCTTGCTTACTTTTGTCAATGTTGATTTAAAAAAAAAGGAAAGTGACATGCATGCGTTGTAACTACTATTCTGCCACCATTAAGATGTGCTCTGCTGTTGGTTTTTAGTTGGCACTGCCCAATAAGGATACAAATAGATCACTAGCATCCCTTTGATTAGAATGTAATTTGGACTTTCTTTTTGTAATTATTTTCAGACTTCAAGACTTTGTTCATATCTCTTTTAGCCTGGGCTATGGCATGTTCTACACCTCTAGATAAGACAATCAAGAGAAGGAAGATGGTAGTGGGAGATGGCAAAAATAAATGCAGAAATTTAAATTCTCTTACTAGGTTATTCAGGGAGCTCTGGTAGCGTAGTGCCTAAGGCAGTTGACTGCTAACCAGAAGGCTGGCGGTTCAAACCCACCAGCCACTCCTCAGAAGGAAGATGGGGCAATCTACTTCTGTAGTGATACTGCCTCGGTAGCCCAAGGAGGGGTCGCTATGAGTCGGGGCCAACTCGACGGCACACCACCACCACAACAACAACAACTAGGTTATTCTATTGTATTTAAGTAATTCCTAATTACAATTAGTAAATTTAAAATATATTTTATTATTCCTTTCTGTCTTGACTTCAGGTACCTAGAGGAAGAAAAGAAAAGCTTTGAGGAAGTTTCCTTGGGTATAAGCAGGGAACTAGGAGAGCTGATTTTTCCTTTTCTTTTAAAGTCCTGGAGTAATTTTCCTATCATTGAGTCTGTTCTTCCTCAAACAAAGCTATAAGTAAGAGAGCCCACATGGCTGCAAAAATCGAGTTTCCTTCCAGAGAAAAGGGTGACAGTAACATGAATGTTTCTTTAAAACTTATATACGTTCTGAAGTGGGAATAGTGCTGCTACATTGTGGAGATTGCATTGAATGTCACAAAACAAAATGTGTATACATGTTGAATGGAAAACCAATTTGCTATGTAAACTATCACCCAAATCACAATTTAAAAACAAAACAAAACAAACCTCCTATGGCAGATATTCTATAAATGTAATTGTTTTGGGAAAATGACTATACTTCAACTCCTTTATAATGGTCATTGATTGTATAATGTAAAAAGAAATACATGAAAATACAAAAAAAACCAACTTGTATCCATTCTGTATTCTAATTTTTATCTGTATTCCTCAATTTTTTACTTAAAGGCTTATTTTCCCATGTAAACATTGATGAATAGGCAGTCTCTTTCAAGAATTAGTTTAATCCTCAATTAGGATTCCTATTAACTTAGCAGTATTGAATTTTCTTTTTATAAAATGTGCTTACTCTTTGTTAAAACAAACATGTATTTATATCTATATGTGTATTGTTATGTTTATCTGCAATATCTCTGCAAAGACAGATACTTCCCTACCTAGGGTAAGGTTCCATTCTGATGACACTGTCGTAAGTTGGTTCTGATAAAACTCAAACATCTCTCTCTCTTTTTCTTTAGTTTTCACTATTATTGCCTTTTTTGTTTGTTTGTTTTAATCATCAATATCTTTATAAATCCAATCTTTATTTGTCTATGGTGGTTGGCATCAGAATGATAAAATCACCAAATTATGGTATGTAGCACTGTATATAGTACATATTACTAACAATAATATGTACAAAAAAAACAATGGACAGTGCCTTAGGCTGGGTTCTCTAGAGAATCAAAACCGGTGAAGCATAGAGAGCGAGCGAGAGAGGGAGAAAAGAAGTGGCTCACTCAGTTGTAGAGGCTGGCAGGTCCCAAGTCTGTGGGTCACATGTCAAGCTGGAGGCTTCTCTTGACTCACGCAGCTGCAGGGGCTGACTAACCCATGATCGGCAGGCAATATAGCAGGCTGCTGGCTTGGGAGGCTCATGAATCCAAGATCAGCAAGTAAAATGGCAGATTTTTGGCTCACAGGCTGCAAATACAACAATCTCAAGATCAGCAGGCACTACTGCAGGCCACTGGTTCAAGTCCAGAAACCGGAGATGATAATGAGCCAGATGTAGGATCATGATCCAGCAGGAAGCCAGATAATTTTTCCAGGATGTCCATAGAGAGAGTGAGAGAGAGAAAGAGCACAAAAGAGAGAGAGGGAGGGAGCATGTGAGTGAGAGAGAAGCAGCCTACACCCTTGAGGACATGCCCTTTCAACTGATTGGCTGCTCAGAACACATCTCATTATGGAGGTGATTACATTAGATCTCATCATGGGGAATGACTACATCACAACTGCTAAACTACTTCGAATCATGGCTCAGCCAAGTTGACATACAACCTTAACTATCACAGATTATCATAAGTGCAGTTTGTTGTAACTCAAATATATCATAAGTTGGAGACTACAAAACTAGGAAGGCTGATTGTTCCAAGGGAGCAAATGGAAGACTGGGGGGTGGGATTTGGAAGGAAATACCTTACTCTATACAATATATCCTTTTTAAAAAAATTTGAAATTCCCCCATGTATGTATTATAAGGAGCCCTTGTTAGTGCAACAGTTAAAGTGCTTAGCTGCTAACCAAAAGGTCAGCAGTTCGAACCCATCACCCACTCTACAGGAGAAAGATGTGGCAGTCTCCTTCCATAAAGATTGCAATCTTTATGGAAAACCTATGGGGCAGTTTACTCTGTCCTATAGAACCACTGTGTGTCAGAATCTACTTGATAGCTGTAGGTTTAATTTTAGTAGGTATGTATTATTAAATTTAAACATTAGAAGAAAGAATGGAAAGGTTGTTTTAACAGCAGGTAATTTTAAAGACCTTCTGTTTTCTTCACAGCAATATCCTGAGAAGATGGGAAAGGGCTGCAAAGTTGTAGTTTGTGGATTATTATCTGTGGGGAAAACGGCAATTCTGGAGCAGCTTCTCTATGGGAATCATACTATTGGTAAGAGTATTCCACTTCCTCTGTAGGTGTTGAGAACCGCCAAACCAAACTTACTGCCATCAAGTCGGATCTGACTCATAGCGACCCTCCGCGGGTTTCCGAAGCGTGTCATTATGGAAGTAGATTGCCCAGCCTTCCTTCCAAGGAGTGGCTGGTGGTTTTGAACAGCCAGTCTTCTGGTTAGCAGTCAAATACCTTAGACACGGCACCACCAGAACTCCAGCTGAGAACTGCAAGGGGTCTTTTATTGGTCACGCTAAATTTAAAGATAGGTGATGGTATATATGCAAAAGGGAGCTATAGTCTAGAGGGACCAAAAGGACTATAGAAGCCAACAGAGATTAAGAAGGAAAAAATAGGAGAGAGAAAAAAAGTCTTGATGTTACAAATATTGAAATTCAGTAGTGCTTACTGTAAGTTATAGCAGGTGAAAAAGAGCATATGTATATATATGCATGTGTATGTGTGTGTATAAAATCTTTGCATATATGTAGTTTCCTGTATGTTTACATAATGAGTAGTGGTCTAGGAGTCATAGAACGACTGACCTAAGAATACACTCAACCAAAAAACCAAACTTACTGCTGTTGAGTCAGTTTGACTCATAGCGACCCCTCCATGGGTTTCTGAGGTGGATCACTATGGAAGTACCTTGCCCAGTCTTCTTTGTGAAGAATACACTAACTGATCTCTTATTTCAAACATGACTTTTTCATATAGCTGGGTAGGTTTTAAAAAGCTACTTGCTGCAGTGCGACTTAATTTTGTGAATTGAATTATCTCATTTATTAATTCATTGAGTCAAATAACTATTGAATATAATACAGGCTGTTATTAGGATTTAGAAGACTTGGCGATCTACGTCTGTAGAAATACTGCCTCAGAAACCCAAGGAAGGGTCGTTATGAGTCAGATCCCACTCAACAGCAGTGAGTTTGGTTTGGTTGGTTTCAGAGGTGAAGATCACATTTCTGTTTTTAAGGAGGTTATGGTTTACTAAGGAAGACAAAATATTACAGGTTAGAATAAAGTGAGGTTTATATTACAGAAATAAGTAAAGAATCATAGGTCTTTAAAGCATTCATCTCTGCCAAGTAGCATGGAACACATTTCTGTCTTACTTCAGTTAACCATTTTGATAAGCTCTACCTCTGTCTTTGGCTCTGATGGAGAACAACATGGGGCCACTTGGCTGTTGAAGTTACATTTAAAATCAGTCAAATTGTAATTGTACAATCTATATGTTAAATTCTTTAACTCTTGTGCCAGTTACTTTTTAAAAATATTTAATAGTAAATTTCATTGTCAAGTTTTTGGTATTTTTATTTCTATACAGAGCAAATATTCTTAGAAAGCACTTTGTTCATTTACTGTAACAGCTACTTTTTATTTTTTAAAATATTTTATGTATTTTTGGTGAAGGTATACACAGCAAAATAGGTTCTCATCCAACAATTTCTACACATAATGTTTATTGACCTTGATTACATTCTTCAGCTGGTGTCAGCATTCTCATTATTTCCATTCTAATTACTCCTCTCATTAATTTAGTCTCATTGCCCCCTAAACTTCTCATCTATGTTTTAGAGTAACTGTTGTCTATTGGTCTTACATAAATTTTTAAGAGCATACAATACTCAAATGTGACACTTTTTACTTTTTGAGCTATTTAGTTTAAAAGTGACTTCAGAGGGTCATTTTGTTTCAAGGTTTGAAGGGTATCTCATTGCAGCAGTCTTGGGGATTCCTCCAGCCTCAGTGGGTCCAGTAAATTTGGATGTTAAGAATTTGAAGTTCTGTTCGGCATTTTTCTCCATTTCTATCAGGATCAATAGATTGTATCCCTAATCAGAACATTCGGTAGTAGTAATCTCACACCAGCTAGTTCTGATCTTAAGATAGAGGAGTTAGTGGTTCATGGAGACAGTCTTGTAGTCTGGCTCCTTCTTGGATTCCTGTTTTTTTTTCTTTCTCTTTTGTTTCAAGTAGAGACCAAGAGTTGTATCTTAGGTGGCCAGTTGTAAGTTTTTAATACATTAAGATTTTAATGATAGGAAAATATCCATACACCTCCAAGGAAGACCAGTTGATCCTATACCAGCTACAAAGTAGAACATAAACCAGTTAATATTCCACCAACTATAAAGTAGAACATAAACTTTAAGAACTATATTATGCCAGTAGTCTGGATTGTCCCACAAAACCGTGGTACAAGTATTCAAACCAAGAAACTTAATCCCATGAGCTAATGGTTTATTTCTAAATAGTATCAGCATCTGTAGTCCCTTATTATTTATTGGTTGTGGTTATTGTTGCAAAATTACATATTACATGTTTAAACACACTGCCATTGAGTCAGATCTGACTCATAGCAACCCCTCCTTGGATTTCCAAGGCAGTATCACTATGGAAGTAGATTGCCCAACCATAGTAAAATATAATGAAATGTGCAAAGACCTGGAATTAGGAAACCAAAAAGGGAGAACACACTTGGCATTTTTCATGCTGAAAGAACTAAAGAAAAAAATTCAAGCCTTGAGGTATAATACTGAAGGATTCTACGGGCAAAATATTGAAAAATGCAGAAAGAATCAAAAGATTAAAGGAATACACAGTAACTGTGCCAAAAAGAGTTGGTCAATATTCAGCTATTCCAGGAGGTAGCATATGATCAAGAATCAATGGTGCTAAAGGAAAAATTCCAAACTTGTTGAAGGAATTGGCAAAAACAAGGCTCTGGGAAGACCCATTGAGGTATTTGAATAAACAGATGCAGTGCTGGAGGCACTCACTTGTTTATGCTAAGGAATTTGGAAGACAGCTTACCTGGCCAACTGACTGGAAGAGATCCATATTCATGCCCATTCCAAAGAAAGTTGATCTAATAGAATGTGGAAATCTTTGAACAGTGTCATTAGTATCACATGCAAGTAAAGTTTTGTTGAAGATCATTCAGAAATGTTATAGAGGTATATTGACGCAGAACTTCCAGAAATTCAACCCAGATTCAGAAGAGGGCACGGAATAAGGGATATCTGATGTCAGATGGATCTTGGCTGAAAGCAAAGAATACTGGAAAGATATTTACCTGTGTTTTAATGACTATGCAAAGGCATTTGACTGTGGATCGTAACAAATTATGAATTACATTGCAAAGAATGGGAATTCCAGAATATTTAATTGTGCCAATGAGGAACTCGTATATAGACCAAGAGGCAGTCCTTTGAGCAGAATAGGGGGATACTGCGTGGTTTAAAATCAGGAAAGGTGTGAGTCAGGATTGTTATCATTTCACTATAGTTACTCAATCTGAGCAATTAATTAATTAATTAATTGCTCAATGCTGAGCAAATAATATGAGAAGCTGGACTACAAAAAGAAGAATGTGACATCAGGATTGGAGGAAGACTCATTAACCTGTGATATGTAGATGACACAATCTTGCTTGCTGAAAGTGAAGAAGACTTGAAGCACTTAACTGATGAAGATCAAGGACTACAGTTCAGTATAAATTAGACTTCGACATCAAGAAAACAAAAATCTTCACAACTGGACCAATAAGGAACATCATGATAAACAGAGAAAATATTAAAGTTGTCAGGGGTTTCATTTTACGATCCAGATCCCACAATCAGTGTCCCTGGAAGCAGTAGTCAAGAAATATATAACATAGCATTTGTCAATTCATCCTTTTTTTAAAATTCTTGTTGTGATTTGGGTGAAAGTTTACAGAGCAAATTCATTTTCCATATAGCAGTTCATGCACATTTTGTTTCATGACATTGACTGCAATTCCCTACAGTGTACCAGGTCTCTTCCCACTTCCTCCCCTGTTCTGTGTCCTTCCTTCCCATGTACTCCTGCCCTGAGCTATCTCCCTTTGCAAACACTGCTCCTCTATTCTCTCACTATAGATCACTCCAAGGAGTGCATTTACATAGTGTATCTGTCTGTGTACATCACTCCATATGCTTGTCTGTTGTTTGGCTGAAAGCCACAGGAATTGAGTTCAGTTTCAGACCTGAAGAGTAACTAGGGGTCATAGTCTCAGGGGTCTCACCAGGCTCTATCAGACCAGTAAACCGTTTTTTTTTTGTTTTTTTTTTTATGATTTTGAGTTCCACATTGTTCTCCTACTCTATCCAGGATCTCCTGCATTGATCCCTTTCCAGGTGGGTGACAGTGGTAGCTGGGCACCATCTAATTGTTCTGCTCTCGTGGTTGTATAGGTGGAGGATTGCATGGTCTACTAGGTCTGTTAGGTCCCTTGGACTAATTGTTTCCATCCATCTTTGGTCATTTTCATTCTTATTTGCTCTGGACCAGTAGAAGCCCATTGTTGCATCTAGGTGGCTGCTTACAAGCTTTCAAGACCTCAGTTGCTACACCATAGTAGTCATCCATTTTCTTGTGTCAACTTAGTGTTATCAATTAGTCAAGTTGTGCAAATTTCACCAACTTTCAGTAGCACCTTTCCCATCACCATAAACAAAAAGTGACTGCCACCTAGTGAATGATTCCTCCATTATCCCCCTTCTCACCCAGCAATAAACATTGCTCTCTGGATGTTCACCTAGTCTTATTTCATAAAAGTGAGATAATACAGTATTTTTCCATTGTGCTTGACTTATTTCGCTCAGCACAATGTCCGTCCTCCATGTTCATCCATGTTGTAAGATGATTTGGAAACTAATTTTCCTTATGGCAGAGGAGTATTCAATTGTATGTATGTACCACATTTTATTTATTCATCCATTGATAAGCACTTAGGTTACAATTATCTTTTATTTTAAAGAAGACAGTAAAAAAGAAGTATGATTACTATATATGGTAAATAGAGAACCTAGGAAGCCATCTTCTAAAGGAAAAGAAAGTGAGCAAAGCAACAGTTGATACTGAGTTATACAAAAAGTCATTTCTTTTTAATTCCAGGAATGGAAGATTGTGAAACAATGGAAGATGTATATATGGCTTCCGTGGAAACAGATCGGGGAGTAAAGGAACAGTTACATCTTTATGATACCAGAGGGCTACAGGAAGGTGTGGAGCTGCCAAAGCATTATTTTTCATTTGCTGATGGCTTTGTTCTTGTGTACAGTGTGAATAACCTTGAATCCTTTCAAAGAGTGGAACTTCTAAAGAAAGAAATTGATAAGTTCAAAGATAAAAAAGAGGTAAATGGAGATATTATAAATGCCAAATGTGAATTATAGTACTATTTAAACTGTAGTGTGAACTTTTGCAGTTTAATTATTAAAAAGAATTATTCACAGTTATCTGTAATCTTCCTAATTTTTTTCTTAGCCGGAAAATACAAGACTGATTGGGATTGATCAGAACCACCATTTGACTTTCTGCCTTTTGCTGATTGCTATGTACAAACTTAATTTTAATGTCTTTATATCTTGTTGTTTGGGGTCACCAATCCCTAAGGTTCTTTGCCATCTCATTGGCTAAATCAGATTCTTGGCTTCTGCCCTACAGAACAAAAACTTAGTAATACTTGGATTTTATCCATTTAGGCACCAAGTAAATACAATCCAAATCTCTTAACTTTTATAGGTCTATGGAGTCCTGTATAACCTGGCCCCTGCTTGCCCTTTTCACCTTATCATTCCACTCCTCTTTCATTGCACCCCTATAGACATAGGTCTACTTTGTTTTTCTAACCTAACGGTTTTGTTTCCTCATTAGTCCTTTGCAGTTGCTGCTTCCTTTTCCTGAAACACTCGCAGCTCTTTCTTGAACCTTCATCTGGCTGACGCCTTATCATCTAGAGAACCACATAATGTATTGGATAATGGGATTGGCTAGTTGTACTTAATCTAGATTTTTATATTTTATTTAATATTAAACTTTTAATTTGGAGATAACTGTAGATTCACATGAAGTTATAAGAAATAACAGAGACCCTGTACCCAGTTTCCCCTAGTGATAACATCTTACAAAACTGTATCATAACCAGGATGTTGACAAAGAAACTGACAAGATACTAAACATTTCCATCACTACAAGGATTCCTCCCTTTTACAACGTTATCTATTTTCTTGCCACCCTGCCCCAGACAACCATTAATCTGTTCTCCATTCCTGCAATTTTGTCATTTCAAAAATGTTACATAAATGGAATCATATAGTATGTAATCTTTTGGGATCAACTTTTTCTCTCTGCACAATTCCCCGAGATTGATCCAAGTTGTTGCATGTATATTTATAGTATCTGCTGGGTAAAATGATATTTAATGATTTTGTTTTTCTTCATATGAAGAGATGGAGTATTTTTTTGTTTTTAAATGATTGCTTTGTTGCCAGTAGACAGTTGGGGACAAGGTGAGAAGAATGGCATTCAGCTGAGATACTAATGCCCTGGGGCACTTTAATATTTACAACTTAGAGAGTTGAGGAGAGACCAGCAAAGGGATGTGAGAAGAAGGGGCCACTGAGGTAGGAGGAAAACCAAGAAATAAGAGTGTTCCAGAAGAAGCTTTTCTGGCACAGTAGTTAAAGCAGTCAGCTGCTAACTGAAAGTTCAGCAGTTCGAACCCATCAGCAGCTCCATTGGAGAAAATTGAGGCAGTCTGCTTCTGTAAAGATTTATAGCTATGCAAACCCTACAGAGCAGCAGTTCTACTCTGTCCTACCAGTCGCTATGAGTCAGAATCGGCTCAATGGCCTAGGTTGGGTTGGGTTTGAGAAGGCAAGTCAAGTCAGCACTTTAAAATGGAGGGAGTGATCAAACTAAATCAAATACTGCAGGTAAGTTCAAAACTGCTGCAGACTAAGAATTGGACATTATCTTTAGTAACATGGAGATTTGGACAAGAACAGCTTTAATGACATAGTGAGATGAAGTGCACTCATTGGAGTGCACTTGAGAGAGCATTGAACACAGCTGTTTAAAAGAGTTTTGCTGTAAAGAGTAGAGGAACTGGTGTAGGAGTTAGAGAAGGATGTATTGTATAAAGTGGTTTGTTCTTTTAAGATGAGAGATAGCATTGTACTAATGGTAGTAATACAACAGAGAGGAGAAAATTGCTGGAGTGGAATCCTTGTCCAGGTAAGATGAGTTCCAGAGCTAACTGTACATGAACCTGGAAGATGGCAGGTTATTAGATGTTTGTGGAAGTTCTCCTAAACACTTCTGCTTTCTTACCAAAATAGTACAGTCATCAGCTGAGAGTAAAGTGGAGGAAGGAAGAGATCTAAGATGGAGGAGAAAAGTATGAGATATTGGTCTAGTTATAGAGTAAATGTAATATATTTACGGGAGAACATTAGCCCACTTGAGATCAGAGGTTATGACTTGGAACCTGCCAGCAAGGTAGTGTTTTTCTCCAGCTTTGTTTAAATATGCATTGTAGGCACAGGGTAGGAGTTTTGCTTAGTGAAGTTGATGGGATAAAATGGGTAAGCTGTTGTTGTTATGTGCCGTTGAGTAGGACCCGACTCATAGCGACTCCTCCCTTGGGTTCCAGAGGTGGTATCACTATGGCAGTAGATTGCCAACCTTCCTTCCGAAAGTGGGCAAGGGAATGAATAAAAAGAATCAAAGGTGGGTAAGGAGGAACTGAGGACTTGAGGGTAGAGAGATAGTGATAAAAGCAGTAGAGCTGATGGGATTGTGGTATTTAGAATTGTTGGAATCAGTGTTAGGTGTGAAGTAGGAAAGTATGAGGTGGTAAGAGTGGGATGCTTGAAGTGAGATCAGGGAGGGGAGGAGTTATGTAATGTAATGATAAGGTCTAGGATATGTGATAGGAGGTCTGGTAGCATAGTGCCTAAGGCACTTGACTGCTAAGCAGAAGGCTGGTGGTTCAAACCCACCAGCGACTCCTCAGAAGGAAGGTTGGGCAATCTACTTCCGTAGTGATACCGCCTCAGAAACCCAAGGAGGGGTCACTATGAGTTGGGTCCAACTCGATGGCACATAACAACACAACAACAGGATATGTGATCATGGGAGTGAATGGCCTAGGTAAGGTGGAGATAAGATCATTGGACAGGTCAAGGAACTGAGATAACAAGTTACTGGAAGGGTCAGCTACATGGCCAATGAAATCACTAGGAAATAAGAGTAGTGTGGGAGTGACCATGAGCTAGATCTGTAACGAGCAGTGAGGAGGGTTAGGTAGTAGGGAGTAGACTAAGAGCATGAGCTTTCAGCATTTTTAGGGAAGGAATTGTTGGGAGGCAGCATTAAGGGGCAAGGAAGACATCTTAACACTTCCTGCCCCCCGGCCCAAGTGGTAGTGGTAGGAGGATAGGAGTAAAGCAAGTTTGAAAGGGTTGCATGGCTGAGCCAGGTTTCAGTGAGGCAAGAATGTGAAGGGAACATTCAAAGCAGAGGCGGTGGAACAGAGAATTTTCAAGGCAGCAGAGTGGAAGTTTCTGCATTTGGGGAGAAAGGAGTCAGACTAGGGTGTGCACGTGTAGATGAAAATCTTGAGTGATGAAGAATGACAGGAGGACTTGAAGGGATAGTTCCTTCTGAATGATGGAGGAGTCCTAGTTGCCAAGAGAATGGGAGCTCAGGGGCCTGCTCTTCAATCCTTCCAGGAAGGTGTGGCTTTACTTGGAGTTCAGGGGGACACACAGCAATGGCTTCAAGGTCTTAGTTCAATGCAGAGGTGCCTTCTCTGGAAATTTCTGCTGCCTTTCCTTCACAGTTGCATCATCTTGTCTTTATAGTCACTATCTGAAAATCAAGATGTTCTCTCCTTACTGCCCCAGGTTTCAAGTGTTGGGGCCGCTGTGTTTTCATCACCTCAGTTAAGTGCATAGGGTATAGTAAGCATTTTCTAAAATGAATGAATGGCTTGCGTTTAACATAAAACATTACTGGTTCTACATTCCAACAAATATTGATTGCTTACCCTGCACTAAATAACGTGAACAAAATAAGAGAAAAATTCCTGTTTTCATGGAGCTTACGTTTTAGGGGTACAGAACTCCACATGGTAGAGGAAGCCTTGGCTACACACTGTTGTTGTTGCTTGTTTTTTTAAAAGTTTTTTGGAGTATTGCCAATCTCCCAAACACCAGGTGTAGTCAAACTGAAATTCAGATACATCTCAGTCAAAGCATTATCTGTATCCTAATTTCTCAAGTCTGTCTTCCATTAATATGCAAGTTAAAACTTCACCTGCTGTTAATTTTGAGCATCAGTTAACATTCAGGAGTGAGGTGCTATCCTACTGTCTTATCATTCAGCCTACGTTGGAGAATCAGTTTTAATGAAGTAATTTGTTAAGGGAGATGCTTTTCCTCATTTCTCCATTGTGTGTAGGACTGCCTTTGGTGAAGTATGAGAATGATCTTTTTAATCTCTTTTCTTTCAGGTAGCAATTGTTGTACTAGGAAACAAACTCGACCTCTCTGAGCAGAGACAAGTGGATGCTGAAGTGGCACAGCAATGGGCAAAAAGCGAGAAAGTGAGACTGTGGGAGGTAACTGTTACTGATAGGAAAACTCTGATAGAACCCTTCACTTTATTAGCCAGTAAACTTTCCCAGCCTCAGAGCAAATCCAGCTTTCCTTTGCCTGGGAGGAAAAACAAAGGGAACTCCAGCTCTGAGAACTGAAAGCATTAATGTCACAGTTATTAAACAGTGATTGCCTATGTATATGAACAAGGTTAAGATAATATTTAAAACCTATAAAGAAGTAAATGGAAGCAATTTAGGTTATGATTAAAGTATTTTGCTTAAGTTTATTATTAATACCTGATATGAAAGGAGGTGTTTTCTCATTCCCATTATTTGAAACCAGACCCTGAAATTAGCACCTTTGTTATTTTATTTATGTCATACTTGTCAAAACTCTGAAATAAAGTTTGAGTGGTATGCACATGAATCTGTGTGTAACTTTTTTCCTGTAAGTTGTTTCATAAGCTCTCATCCCAGTTCCGTCTCAGTGCCAACATAACTTTGTTGTTAAAAGTTCATTAATCATCTAATGCCTAGGGGTTATAAAGCTTAAAATACATTGTATCGACAGTAAATAACTTGTGTACTAAGTATGCTAAACGTGTCTTGTGGAGATTTTGTAAAACAGAACAAAATCTATGTTTCAACTTAAGCTTAGTTCAGATTGTATATTTAACATGACTTGAAGTGATGTTGAGTTGATTGGTCACTCAAAGGCTTTTTTTCCCCTTCAGCTGGACCTGGTTGATAAACCAAGTATTAAAGGGCAAAATGGTTTTGACTTCTTTGGAAAATGGGTAAGAACTTAAGAACAATACTTCTTTTTTCCAGAAAGAATACTAAACTTTCTGGAATAGTTTTCTGGATACCAGGCCATTTGGGATAAAATTTATCATAAAAATAGTGACGATTTTGGCAGGATTTAAGCAATAGGGCTAATTGTATTTAGAAAGTTGACAGCATTATAACTAATTTAAAAAGTAGAAAGCAAGAGACTTAAGGTTTCAGTTGTGAAAGTAGTTAACCTATTTGATCTAAAAAATAAAATATGAAATAAGCCATTCAGCAAAGGGCATGTTAAAACATCCAGTTAATTGTAACATCTTAAATGGAATACTTTTAATAATGTGGTTCAGTTCAGTGAAGTCAAACTAAGAACTACTGCATATATGAAAGTTATGACACTTATAAATCACCTAATTGCTGCTATTGTGTATTATTTTTCATTAGAAAATACCACTTGGATGTAAGTCACCTCCTGCCTTCTCCCCAGTTACTGAGTATTGATCCTTCTACCTTTTTTCCTGTGCAATTATACATCCATGAATACTTATTTTTACAATTATTTCTAAACAAATTATATATCACATCACCCGACAGTTTGTTTTCTACTGAATACAACACTTAGATCTATGTTAGTACACAGAATTCTCATATTCTTTCTAAATGCTGTAATAACCTTACATGTACTTTCATCCTGTATACCTGGATGAGTTTTTCTGAGGAAGATACAGAGAAATAGAAGTGTGCGGTTATAGAGTACATATGCCTGTTGTTGTTGTTATGTGTCCTTGAGTCAGACCCAACTCATAGCGACCCCTCCTTAGGTTTCTGAGGCAATATCACTATGGAAGTAGATTGCCTCATCTTCCTTCCGAGGGGTGGCTGGTGGGTTTGAACTGCCAACCTTCTGGTTAGCAGTTAAGTGCCTTAAGCACTATGCTACCAGAGCTCCCATGTATGCCTAGGTACTGCCAAATTACCCTCTAACGTGGTTATACCAGTTGATCTAGCCACAGAGACCCATCTCCCATGCACTCGTCACGACAGTATCTGCAACTTAGAAAATGCCTTTAAAAAGATGATGCTGTAGAGCTCATTTTTGAAAGATGATACCAAACCAACCAAACTTACTGCCTTTTAGTCACTTCTGACTCATAGCAACCCTACAGGACAGGATTAACAAGGCTGTAATTTTAATGGAAGCAGGCTGCCACATCTTTCTCCCATGGAGTGGGTGGTGGGTTAGAAATGCCAGACCTTTTGGTTAGCAGCCAAGTGTGCCTTAATCACTGCACCACCAGGGCTCTTGAAAGATTGTTATGTTAGGTTATACAACCTTTTCTAAAACACTTGGAATCTACCCTGCAAGGGTATTAGATAAATTAGAATTAACACACCAATCCTAACATTTGAAAAAAAAAAAACCAAACCCACTGCCATCGAGTTAATCACGACTCAGTGACACCTATTGGGTTTCCAAGGCAGTAAAACTTTATGGAAGTAGATTGCCCAGTCTTGCTTCCAGAGTGGCTTGGTGGGTTTGAACCACTAACCTTCAGATGCCTTAGGCACTGTGCTACCAGAACTCCTTATCCTAACATAGGTGCTTAATAAATGATATATATTTATATATTAAGCCTGCAAATTATTTCTAGGCTGTTTTAATAGTAAAGGTCTATCAATTTTAGAAGAAAAGGGTCTGAAAACTGTAGGCAAAATGCAAAAGAGAACAAACACAACCGCACTGGTGGTTGTTTTTTAATATTGTTTATTAGCACAGTAACAAATGCAGACTTAAGTAGTCCACAACATATAACCAATCCACTGAGCAACTCCTATTCCACGCCTTACAGTGAACAGCTTAAGGTATTTCACTACAGGTTTTCACAAGTCCTGATTCAAACTTTTAATCTTTTCACAATAAAGTAGATTGGCATATAAAATAAAATACATTAACTACTCATTCCCTATATGGTGTCTTACAGCCACGTGTCCATTTTATATATATGAGATGACAGTCACTAAAAACTGTTAAATATCAATGTTCCCTCCCAAGGAGGGAAAACAAATTCCAATCTTTTTTTTTTTTTTTTTTAAATAAAAAAGTGTGTTGTCTTGGAAGGACTTTACATAAATGGCCATGTGCATAACCTGTACAAAATTAAGCTGTTTTAAATTTACATACTACTAGCAACTGAACCCAAATGTCTAAATGTACATTCTTTCCTGTACTACATTTCAGCTAATATTGCAGAACTAATGAGAGTTTTAAAAGTTGCTATTACCAATTCTGTCTACTGTAGCAAGATACCTTAAGTTACAACAAAATCTTAGGAAATAAGACTGAATAATATCTGTTATAGAAATACCCTACTCTTTACCAACTCCCACCCTCCCCCACCCCTTCAAAATCATAAGCAGCTCTCTTCTGTGACAGACAAATAATGTAAGAATTGTGAAAACTCAATTTATGTAGCGTATCTCTTGGTCCACTGTCTGGCCATTCTGTCATGTTCTGCTCTGTTGGTCATATACTGAGTGGCAATACTTCCCACCAAAGGGTCAGCTAGAAGAAAAGAGCACAGGTTACTTACCAGAAGGAAGAGAACATTTTAATAAACTTATGCAAATAAATTAGTGAAGCTTGGGTAGACATATGCAACAAAGTAGTGATCAAACCCACTTATCAAACCCAAAGAAGAAAAAACAAAAAACCCATTGTTTAGTTGATTCTGACTCATGGTGACCCCATGTTACAGAACAGAACTGCCACATAGGGTTTTCTTGGCTGTAATCTTTTTGGAAGCAGAGCACCAGGCCTCTCTTCCACAGTGCTGCTAGGTAGGTTCAAACCACTCCCCTTTAATAATCAAGCTCATAGCATCTGTGCTACCCAGAAACCCCATCTATGAAATACCACCTGCTGTTCTGGGTATTTTTGCTTCTGGGCTTTGAAAAACAGCATGGATGGGGGAAAATTTCTTACCAATGTAGAATGCTGAGGCTTTAGTCCTGATCTGGCTTCAGCTCCTTAGTTCACTCCATGTCCCTCCCAATAAACACCCAATTGATGATTTTTTGCTCTTATGTATTAGGCTATGTTCAGTAGAGACTGGAAGTTCAAGGTTCCAGACTACAACTGACACCCATTATGGCACTGTGATAACACTGTGAAGTCCTTGACACTACTGCAGTGTAACAGTATTGACCTCTATACTGTTTACCTAGAGTAAGGCTGCCAGGTCCTGGACCTCTAAGTGGTACATCATTGCTCTGAAACTTAAATAGAACCTTTACAAGCTAAAACGTCTTTCAAGGTGAGGAAGGATAAAACAAGTTGTTAACCTTACCAGGATTACAATCTGTAAGAAGTGAGCAGATAGAAAGGAGGACTTTAGAAATAGTTAGTGCTGGGCTCCAATTATCTTTCAATATGTCCAAGCAAATAACTCCTTGACTGTTAATATTACAGTGATAGATTCTTGTCCGAAATGTAACCTAAAAACAAAAGGTAGTGTTAAATATTTAAACAGCATATAATGAAACTCTTTACTAAAGGCACTTGACTGCTAACCAGAAGGCTGGCGGTTCAAACCCACCAGCCACTCCTCGGAAGGAAGATGGGGCAATCTACTTCCATAGTGATAATGCCTTGGAAACCCAAGGAGGGGTCGCTATGAGTGGGGTCCGACTCAACGGTACATAACAACAACAACAATTTAAAACAAGAGCAGCAAGACCTGATGACTTAAGTTTTTAAAAGGTAAATGAAGTGACATAACACTGAGTTTTACTTACTTAAACAATGAATTTAATAAGAAATAGCTTAAGAGATGGTTAAATAAAATTGAAATTATAATTTCACCTCATATCTAATGTCAGGATTGTCAATTTCATTTTAAAAGTAATATCTACAGACAGAATACAAGGTAAGGGCAATACTCAAATTCATCTTTCATAGTTTAAATGTTTTAAATCTAACATTTCCAGGTTTGAACAGCTGTTTGCTGACCTCTTGTGTTAGTTGGCAGTACTACATTACCTCAAAGTAAGCTTTAGCATCATAAATTCAGACTGAGGTACAACATAGTGAACACATGAAGTTAAACAAAATCTTTTTAACAAACTGACCACACACCCAAAAAGCTGTAAAAAGAACTGAAGGTGAGATCTGCTTCTGCTTTTTTGATCTTTACATCAGATCCTGCAACGATCCTATCTAAGAACTGACTGGAATGGAGACTCCACAGGTGAGGAGGCAGGAATGGGTAAGAACCATGCAATTAAGAAATCAAGATAGAGTTCCGGCAAGATGGCGGACTAGGCAGAAAGACTGCACAGACCCT